GCAGATAACGCTCGACACCCGGCGCGGATGGATGCCCCTCCCTCGTAGGCTGAAACCAGGCTGCCAGAGAGCGACGTGCCCCCCCCACCCCCATCCTGTACCCCCCAGCTGCCATTCCCACTCGGTGCCGTTCAGCCCCGACGCTCTGCAGATGAGAGGGCGGCGGCTCCAGCCTCCGCGCTCGAGCCCTGCCGCCTCGCCCGGGCCGGGCCACGCCGGCTCCTTGTCCAGACCTGGGACAGCAGCAGGGGCCATCCAGCAGCCAGCGCGAATGGCCAGAATTCAAAGTGCGCGTCACCCAAACCTCATTAGTCTCTGCCAGGAGAAAGTTCCCCAGGAAGCATGAGTAGGGGTTCAGCTGGGATAGAGATTTACACACACCCTGGGGGAGGCGAGGGGACCTGCCACCCTCCACCTCTGCCCAGGGAGCTTCCCTCCCCCTACTCTCCCACCGGGCTTTCCCACCCTCATGGCACCTGTGAAGATGAAAAACTTCCTTCACCTGATGCCTGTACAGGTCTTCCATCATTCTGGGTCCAGAGAGGGGCTGCCAGAACAAACCCTTGAGGAGTAAGTATGTGACTGAGGGTGGGAGGGCTGGGTCACCAGCACAGACGCCACTCGATCTCCATGCTGGAGGATCTGGGTCTCTGTCCTCTGTCCTCGGCCACCACTTCACTCCCCGGCTCACTAAGTCATCCTTGCAGGGTTGTGGGCACCAGCATCTGGCACCAGAGGGCGCTACAGGCCCAGTGGGTGCCTTGACCTCCTTCCGGGCAGCCAGGAGAGGGGAGGGGCAAGCAGGAGGGAGGCTCCTGACTTCTAAAGGGAGGACAGGGATTCAGGGGCCACAGCGGGACCATTCCAGGGTTTCCTGGACCAGCCAGGATAGCGTGGGGACCCGGGAGCAAGCAGACCAGTGAGGGGCCACGCTGCACCCACCTCTACCCACTGGGCCATCCTCAGGACAGGGGCTGCCCAAGGCCAACTGGAGCTGAAAAGCAAAAAGCATTCTGTGCAGGGACAGGGTGGGGCAAGGGGAAAGCAGCAGCCCTGGAAATCAGTTAGTTTGCAAAGCCCCAAAAACTTGGGAGGCCTAGAGCTTTTCAAGCGGCTAATGTAGAGGGTGGAAGGCAACATGGGGGGGGTGCACAGACGGACCCCCAAAGACCAGGGAAATGCTGGGAGAGGCACCAGAACTTGGAGGGGCTCCCCATGAGCCTCCACGTGCCCCTGCCGCAGGGGCCTCACTCCAGCTGGGCCCTCTGACAGTGGGGATGGAGCCTGTGGCCTTCCCAACCTGCCCAGCCCCGCCAGGGGTGCGCTTGGGCAGGGGCCTGGTCAGTGCTGGTGTGACCACACCAGAAAGCCAGGTGCATGGATGCGAGCAGATTTATGTAAAATTCCTCCTCATCAGAACCCTGATATGTCAGAACCCAGAAGTCCAGACAGATCACCAGGGGCTGGCCGCCTTCTGGATGGCCTAGGGAGATGGCATTCTGCCTGGGAAAGATCATTCTAGGGGACAAGAAGTCCTTAGAGGGCATTTGCTCAAGACAGGACCTGCCCTGATGAGAAAAGACTAAAAGCACTGGACACTGAGGGGCCATGCCAAACCAAACCCAACCTCAAGGCAGGGAAGATCAGTAAAAGAACAGGGAGCAGGGTGGTTGGCTGGGACGCCCAACTTGGCCAGAGCATCCAGTGGGTCCTCCCGTTCCCCCCTGGGATGAAGCCAGAGCACCTGTGCTCCAGGTCATTGCCTTCCCAGTCCCCTGAGATCCTGTGAGGTAGGCGGTTCTGTGCTCAGAGGAGATGGAAAGTTCCAGTTCTGAGCCAACTTCACCCAGAAACCCCTATACCCACTGTCTGGTGTCTGAGATGCCTCAGAGAGAAGACAGCTCACAGTGGCCACAGAACTCTGGGTGGTGACGACTGGCTCCTGCCCCAGGCACACTCAGAATGGCTACTGTCACACATGGCATCCAGCCAGGGAGATCCAGGTAACCGGATTTCCCCTATTGGCATTCCTACGTCATGTTTGCCCTGGAAAGATTGTGTGCAAGCCCCAGGTGGCCCGAGATGACACCTGGTGAGTTCAGATCTGCCTTTCCAGCTTAGGGAGGCTTAGTTACAGGAATCTCTTTCTACTGCCTGGAGCAGAGGTATCCGCAGAATGACTAGGCCTGAGAGCAGACAGACACACACCTAGCCATTTGAGTGGGCGTCCAGTGGGCGAGAAGTCAGTTCCCAGAGCCCGCAGTTGAAGGAGGGAGTCTGAGTGGGCCTGCCACGGGTGGGTGGGCCTATTAGGGAAGCCCCGTGGCATCACTTTGGTCCCCAGGAACGCCTCTGGCTGGTAACCCCAGCTATGCCAAGCCCCTGGATAGGGCGCCTGGATATAGACCCTGACGTCACACCTCCCGGGACTGCCGTGGGTTCAAGGGTGTGGCCTTCTGAGTGCAGCAGGCTAACCTGGCCACAAGCCCCACCTCTCAGACAAGTCCAGCTGGACTGAACGTTGAGAGCAGGCTTCCAGCTCAAGGGAGTCAGCCAGCCTCCCAGCATGGTTTGCATATTATGTTTTAGGGGGAGGTGTGGAGGTGAGGCAGCCCTACCAGCCGCAGTCCCTGACCCCTAGAGGTGACACCCAGAAAGGCCACAGTCTACTGCATGTCCCTGGGGACAGTGGAGGGACAGCCATCACTCCAGAGCCACGAAACCACTGAGGATGTCATCATACCTGAGCTGGGACATCTCATGACACAGAGCCCCACCTTCACCCTCCAAGGAAAAAGCCCGCAAAGCCTCCCCAAGTTGATCAATTCCTCTCTCCTGTCATCTAGATGTCACAGAGGACCATATGAGAAGCTGACCCTGACCCTAGAGCTCTGAACCCACACACGCACTCACCAGACAATCACACAATCACCCACACTCACAGGGTGCCCAGTGTACCCCTACCCCCTTATAGGGGTCCCTCTTCCCACCCTGCCATCCTGCCTCAGCCCCTCCCTGTCGCCGCCCCTCCCCCTGTGTATGGTTAAGAAACCACTTCAGGGGCCCTCCCCCACTGCCACCGCAAATGTCACCCAGAAAGGCTTCAGGAAAAGATCAGGTGCAACAAACAGTTTCAACAGGAAATGTGTCATGAAAGTATTTGTGAAAAAAAGTGTGACTCTCCAGAGAGCAATCAGGGGCTGAGAAGGCTCTGCAGGAAGAGGAGGAAACCAGCAGACGGTGACAGGGACAGGGAGAGCCCTCTGCCTGGCAGCCCGCGCCCCCCCGCAGGCCTTAGCACCTCCAGCTCCCGCAGGCTGCGCGGGTCTCCCATCCTCCACGCCAGAAGCAGGAGCAGGGCCTCGGGTGCTGCAGGCCACCCTGACCGGCTGGAGTCTGGCTCACAGCCTGGGTGGGGGATGCAGGACCAGGGCTGCACAGTGGGTGCTCTGTGAACACTGGCTGAAGGAAAGGCAACTAATGGGCACCTGGAGACAGAGCACAGGAAACTCACTGCATAAGGATGGCCAGCTTCACTCTAACAGAAGCCTCTAGGTCCCGCACTGGAACGGTCAGGCCAGGCTGGTTTTGTGAGACCACCTCGCTGCCTGCAGACTGGGCTGGAGGGCCGGGGATCACCCAGGAAGCTCTTGAGTCCTCCTGGGCAGAGGATCTTGGCCCAGGTCGGGGGAGCCACACTGAAGGCCTCCCTGCTCCCAGAGGAGGCAGGGTCCCGAGCCTGCCAAGGCCGCCGCTCCTGCGGCCCAGATCTGCTGCAAGACGGTACTGTGTTCCACCGCCCAGAAGCCCCCTCCTCCAACCTCCGGACACTCGTCCTGTCACCAGCCCTCCCCCACCCGTGGGAAGGCTAGCAGCCCGACCCTAGGCGTGGCCGGGGCAGGGCACCTTCTCCGCCTCCTCGCTGCCATACCGCACTCTGCTGATGGGGTTCCTGGTACTGCCCCCTCGGCCCCCACGGACGCATCCTCGCCCCTATGCTCTGCCCCTAACGTGTCTGGCCACCTGTGGGCCTCCGGGCCCCGAGG